ATATATATATATATAAAATGTGAAGCTCATCTTGGACGTAATCCAAGTCAGTGTGTCAACTGAAGTAGTGACTAATTTAAATATGCATTTATATTGATATATTTAATATTTATTTAGGGTAAATATTGCAGGGGGTACTCCAGCAGGATAGCATTGTACCCATCATGTTAAAGGATTCAAAAGAGACAGATTTTTAAAAGACTTTTCCTCTAATGCAATCAATAGCATAGAAGTTTGTTTATTTACTTTCTTGCAGAAAGTTAGATAAAAAGATCCGATACCACTCTGATTTCTTAATATGAAGCTGGAGTCAGAGTAGTCAGTCAAGTGCTGGTAGGCGAATTTCAGAGCCAGGCTATCCCTGTTTCCAGTCATCATGCTAAGCTAACTGCCTCCATTCAACAGACAAATATGTGAATTGTATTGATCTTCTCATCTGACTCTCAGCAAGAAAGCGAGTAAGCAAATTTCACATACTGTCAAATTATTCATTTAAAGGACCAGTGTGTAGGATGTAGTGGCACTTAAAGGTGAAGTTGCAGATGGCGACGACCTGAACACCATTCGCGCCTGTATTTGACAACCTGGGAAGGACAACAGGCTCAAAAGTGTGTAGGAGAAACTACGGTGGCCGTGAATCTTGGAAAAAACACAAAAGGCTCTATCTATGGCCAGTGTTAGGTCTGTCTGTTCTGGGCTACTATAGAAACATGGCGGACTCCATGGAAGGAGCCCTGCAGCAAAAACTGTTTATTTAGTAACAAAAACACAACAATTCCTATACTCACCTGATTATATACTAATGAAAACATATTCCATTTCTGCCAATAGATCCTCCTAAATGCTACACACTGGACCTTTAATGTAATGCATGCATGTAATCCCATAAATAATTCTGATTCTGATAAAGCCTTATACACAGGCTGAGATATACTCACCGTTAACCACTTGTGTTCCCCTTTAAAAACAACTGTCGTTTAAAACATTTATCCAAAAGCAATTGTCAGTTTCAGTTATCTTCATGTTCAGAAAAAAAACAACATAGCAATAAAAACACAAATCAAATCAAAGACCAGGCAATTTTAATCATTTAACCAGTCATGTGTAATTACATAAGTTCTACAGACATTAAGACATCCCATTGAATTGAGGTCAACCACTTAAACCCCCTGTTATCACCATAACCATGAACACAACAGCCACACTGTAAAATGTAGGGAAAACATGAGTCACCAAAATCCTGTCGTCTGTCTGCAGGGTGTCATGATATTACGTATGAACTCTATCCAACCACAACAGTGTTTTCAAGTGAAATGGAAATCTCACACGCATAGCTACGTGCTGTAACACAGGCAAACAAACTGGGGATAATGAAATAATAACTACTCAACATTTCTCAACACCGCAATAAATTAAGCTGCATGTCAGCTGTTCAGACTTCTGTGTTCAACAGCTGTCTGGTGTCTCTTTGATGACGCGGCTAAGACTGCACAAAGATTTGTCTTTTTTTCATTGCACTTATCCCTCCAAAAAAGTATCTAAACATAGCACACACATCTCTGTAGTATTAATATTATGTCTTGTAGATACACACTGACCATGTGTGGGGGGAAAAAAAACCCCACGAACGCTACAAAACATTTTACCTACGACAAGTGGACAATTCTTTGTCCTCTCTTATTAAAATTGATGAATTGCTCTTTGGACACGTCAACTAACAAAACAGGGAGACATGGGTTACTATGGAAAAGGTATGAAATAAAGTGAAACAACATGGCTGATGTTTGACATGTCATAGTGGGAAAAGTGAAGTTCAAGTGAAATAATGAATAATGGCTGCCTGCTCTGTATTTGATCGTTTTGGTCCTGGGCTATTCTGGAGGATATGGCAACTCAGGGGACCTTTATGTATTTCATGAGAGAGTCAGGAAACTATATAACTGCTCACTGCTTGCTATGTTAACGTTAGCCATTACAGTGACGTTAGCTGGGTTGTAGCGCAACCTTTAGCTTAGAATTTAAAGCAGCTATAGTTTTTTTTTTTTTGATAACCTGGAATCAAAGATTGATTGACGCCATATGTGCAGCATCCACAGTAACAAAAAAAATGTACGCTATCTGCCCAGCACCAAACGGAGTACATTTAGTGACCAGCTGGTGAACAGCCAGATGTTTCGGTCAGGAGTTGGTAGGGACCAAAACCAGAGCTAAAAGAAAGTGAATATTGGACTTACATAACCAGATGGCCAGAAACACAATTCAGAATTCCATGTATATTTGCAATGTTGGCTTCTGGTGTCAGTTCATAAAGAAGGTTTAAAGAGTCAAAAATGCTACCACTTGCAATGTATTATATGCTCTGTCATCTTGGAAACTACCCAGCTGCCTTCCATTTCCTCCATGCATTCCTCCTCACTAGCATGGCTTACTATCACACTTAGCAATTACTGATATTAGTTGCACTAGTGCTTTTCTTACTATGACAAGTCAAAATATCTGCAGTGAAAAAGATGTTTTAAAACATCTTGGGTATTTTGAGTTACTGTGTCCCTTGTTGGATATATTACAGAGGGAATGTTAAAGCTGCTTTTCTGATAATTACACTTCTGAATATGTGCGCTGAGCATTTTTAATTGTTGGACTTAATCTGATTCAGTATGTTTCACAAGCTTGCTTGTCCTGGAATCTCATAGCTGTTCATAACAGAAAATGACTCTAGGCACAATAGCAACAAACTTCATTTTGAGGCTGAGCCTTTTATACATGTCAACGACTTGTTTACATCTTTAAAGGAATAATTTAACATTCTGGGAGTTAGATGAGAAAACCACTCTCATGTCTGCATGCTAAATATGAAGCTACAGCCAGCAACCGGTTGGCTTAGCGTAGCCTACAGACTGAAAGCAGAGGGGAAATCTGGCAACACCTTGTTGTTTTCAAACTTCAGTTTTTGTACAGATTTAAAAAAATCAAGATAGAACATTTTAATTAGTGAGCTTTGGACGTACTTAGAGGCCGATTTTGTTACGAGCCAAAACAGTTGTTTCTTTTTCCAGTCTTTGTGGTGGTGGTAATCTAATATTTACCGCATAGGCGTGAGAGAGGTATCGGCCTTCTCACCAAACTCTTGGCAAAAAAGCCAAACCATTGCACGTGCATTCTAAATCCCAACCCCTCCTTACAAAAACAAACAACGCATCATGTGTTATGTAGACTATTCTAATTAAATCTTTGGATCTGTGTCACCTTTTCTGATTGATCTTACAATGAAATACAGCTGAGAGATTAATTGATGCACATAGACCTTTGTAAAGTCAAGGTGGATGGAAATTTAAATGAAGCCCCTGCACACCCACACAGGTGTTTTCCCTTATCCTGGCTGATTCAGTTTCAGACTCAGGATAAAGTTGAGCAGAGAGATATGCTGGAAATGTATATGAGGTGACCAAACTTCATGAATTAAACTTCAAATGATGAAGTAACTTTTCCCACATTTGTAATTAGCCATAATATGTAAAAACACCTATGCATTGTGGGTGTGTAGGGGCTTGAAGGCACTGTATTCCAAGGTAGGATGACTTACATATTGCAGATCATCAATTATTAAATTATCATTCTTTACATTTCAACTCATAATTTCCTTGTGTATATTTCAGATCACTACAAAGCTCCTACAAAAAACAGGTTCAAATAAAAAGGAAAAGAAGCAGAAGGCAAGAGCTACTGTATCCATATAGGAATACTGCATGGCCACTGAAGATTAAAATCAGTGTTCTTTTTTACTTTAGTTATTTGGCATTAAAAATCACAGCTTTTTATAAGTAATTCTTGCTAATTTCTTGAAATTTTTCTTTTCACAAATGGGCTTCAAGTTACTGTGCTGTCTTTTGTTTGACTAACTAGTCTTGTGGAAGTTAAGACTGGTAACAGCTGAGTAGCAGTATTTATTGAGTGGATCTCCTACTTCCGGAGGTTTCTCTATACAAGTCTAATAAGTATAATTACGACCTAATTATTATTGATAAATGAAAAGCTTTAAAAATAATTTATCAATTGTCTATTGGTTGTTTATGCTCAGGGGAGCATCAAACCAAACAGTAAATGCAAATTTAATCCAAATTCAGAATTGTTGTTTAATTAAATTCATTATGCTATTTAAACATAACTATAATTATAATTCAATTAATAACAGAAAATAAATATGATTTTTTTCAAAATTGGTCTTTATTCACGATAGGAAATTAGACTATTTAATTAAAGGACAGGAGAAAAGCAGTCACACATTCTTCTTCTCTTGCATTTCCCATGTGTTATTCGCCCTACCACAATGCTAGGTTTAACTGACTCAAATGTGGTGGCAAACGTTGCCTATGCAGATCTGTACAGTAAAAAAAGGCAAGCATGTGATTATCTACAATGAGATAGAGGACACGGTTTATTTAGCTGAGCTTGGACTAGATTTCACCCTGGCACATTAATCTTGCATTGATTATGCTGTAAAATGAATTGCACAATAAATAAAAAATAACACAACAATATATAATAACTATTGAGATTTCAGATCAAAACTTAGGTACAACTATAAATTATCAAACAAACAAACAAAACAAACCATCTGAGCAACTCTGCATGTTGGTTGCTTCAAATGGAAGCCGGAGGGGAATATTAGGAGCTGTTTGAGTTGTCTCATATGTTGTTGTTAAATTGCACAGCACTCTTGTTGACCTGTTTCATTTATAATCAAAAGATATAAAAAAAAAAAAAAACAAGATGTCAATCTAGTTTTATCAATTCGAAGTGCTGCAGATAAGGGACTGTTTCCTGTGAGGGTGGAGGAAGTTCAAACCTTACCCAACAATATAATTTGAGTAATTTGAGTAAACAAGCCATGGTGTCTAAATTGGCAAACACGTGTATTTTTACACATTTTAAAATGCATCTTCAACAAAAATGCAAGTTGCAGATGCACATATTTTTTTACAAGCAAATACCTATGTAGTGTCCCTACCACAGGGTACAGCTTCATCTTTCTGATGATGAAACATGCACAATTAAGATATTATTCAAAAAATAAGAAAATATACTTCATAAATCAGATACTAATCATAAATGATCATTCTGTTGTAACAGGTCTGGATTTGTGCATGTTGTGCTAATTATTTGTGATGCTGTCAGATTTCATTTCATACTTTCCTCTCTTTGTATATACAGGTACTGCATTATTAGTCATTTTGGAATAATCTCTTTTAAGAACTGATATCAGGGAATTCACACTGTGATGTTTCAGAGGAATTTCAAACCTATGTAGGCTATTAAAAGAAAAGCCAGTTAAGATTCTCTAATTACCCCTCAGCAAATGTACCGTTATTGCACTAGCTATGTAATCCTCCTCTTACTTAACTCCTGCACTCTTGCCATATATGACCTAGTTAGAAGTTTTTTCAGAAATGTCTCTACTCTGTTTAAAATTAGAGCCATATATCTGTATGCCTACTTATGGATAGTGCTGGACAGGATCAATAATTCCATCATTTTGAGCACCTTAAGGTGTTGTGTGTTTGAGCAAATAAACTTGATCCTGTGAGCTAAACGTCCCTACAAGTCCAAATAATAAAGTTGCCACTACATGCATTTTGAAGCTTTTTGAAGCTTTTCAAATACAAATGACCCTGAAAATGCTTTTTTGGAACACATGCATGTTTTGTGGTTTGAAACAACCCTGCTGTGTTTGTTTTTTTTTTCTTATTCTCTGTCAATATAATTGTTTCACTGGCTCAAACAATCAAAAGACTTCCGTTCCTGAGGGATTAGTTATACTGTGTATTTAAGGTTGGAGGTGCAAGAGGAAGATTTATGCAATATCTCACTTGATGTCTGAACTTGTTGCTATGTAACTAGTAAACAGGCAAACAACAGAAAGCTTCATAATGTCTCTTAAAAGTTGTTGTTTCTATTGAGGAAGAAAAGTCCTCAAACCAAACATCACACTGTAGTTCTGCTCTCCTCCTCAGCAAACTGGTTCATGACACCAGTAGCTGTCTGCTGGCCAGTTTAGTAGTATATGACACCTAGTCACTACAGCAGCCACTGAAACATCATAGCTACCAAAAACAACTCCAGAGATGTGACATTACGTCTTATTTTTTTACACCTTTACACTGAGGTTCAGAGTTTTCCAATAAATAAACTACGTGATATTTAAGTTCCGGTTCACCCTTTTGCAACACGGCTTCAGAATAATGCGTTGCTACATTTACAAAGTGCTCACGACGAAGCATCATCACCAAGGTGCAAATTCCTCAGCTTCCTGTGAGGGCAGGAGTGGAAAGGGGAATCAGAAGACCTGAAGACAATGAAAGTTGAAAAACAAGTTGAGAACAAGTACATAAGTTGAACCATCTAGCTGGATGTTTTGCCTCCATTATTCTTGGACACGTGTAGACATTTAATCTCTGCTGGCCAGAAGGAATTCTTGAGCTCATGTGTTTGACGTAAGCAAAGTGGGTGGAAAAAATGCTTCTTCCAAAACCAGCTACAAGCTCCCTGACCACAGCTTTTCACTGAATTTGTTACACATTACCCAGAGTATATTTAAAGATGTGATTGTAGCAAGTATGTGTATATACATTGGAATGTGAGTGCTTATGTAAATATTTTATAGTGTTTCCCAATAAGTAAACATTCCAACCTCTTTTTATCTCAAAGTGCTCTGGTCTCGGCCTCAATCTTCCTCTCTCCATGAAAGCTGTCAGGGTCAGCCGGGGCCACCGTCTGTCTCACTGCGATCTCAGGGCCTCCGCCATAAATACCCAACAAGTACTGCCATGTCTCCTCTGAGATCTGACCATAGTCTGCACCTGAGGGCAGAAACAACCATAAATGTTTATTGACTGTTTTTCTCATTTTCAACTTTATGCCCTTTTCAAACTGTGCTGAGGTTTACCTTGTTTGAGTTGTATGTGTCCTCCTTTCATAACGCCAATTTTACTGTTGTCGATGGGACCAGGTGGCTCTGAGAAAAAAATTATAACATTTTATAAAGAATAAAAGATTACTTTAATGTACTACTGTCTTAAAGCAGGGTCATACCATTGTCTTTGCCTTTCACAAAGCTCTCCCACTCTCTGAACCACTGCATGCTGATGCACAGGATTACAGTCGGAGCCTCCTCAGCCTGAAACTCTTTGTTTAGCTACAGACAAGAGAAAACTACTCATTCAACATCCAACATGAAGCATAAAGACATAATAACGCACAGGTAAACCCCTGCCGAATACAGGCTTTTACCTTGATGAAAGTGTCTATTTCCATTTTTCTGCGTTTAGCCAGAGATTCAATCTCCACTTGGCAGATGGCGCACATATAGAGGTGGTTCACTGCTGGACCGCCTCCAAAACTGAGGACAGAAACATTTAACAGAAAGGCACATATAGTGAGAAATTAACACAAATGAATGTGAACGTACGCATACAAATGCAAATCATTCAATCAACATTCCACTAAGGCCATGGCAATATCTACTCTCTTTTTAGCTCTATTTTGGTCTACACCAACTTCTGAGGGAAATAGCTGGCTCTTTAGTTAATAGATGCTCTCACTATGGTTTTGCCAACAATCTGCCATTTGGTGCATGGCAGGTTGCGTTCAATATGAGATTGTTTTGGCTATAAACCCAAAACAATGAGCTGAAAGATGCTAAAATGCTCTATAGAGCTGAGAGTTTAATGGTTAACAGTGGGTTTGTAACTGGGCGTCTCTTATCACATAACACTTGAT